TCATTGTGTGTGTGTGTGTGCATGAGGTGGCCAGATGTCAACCTCAAGTATCTTTCCTAAGGAATTGTTCACCACATTTTTTGAAACAGGGTCTCTCGCTGACCCGGGACCCACCAAATAGACTAGGTTGGCTTGACTCCTCTGCCAAACGTCCTTTTAGCTCCCCATCCATAGCACTGGGATTACAAGCCCATGGCACTGTGCCCAGTGATTGACTTGAGTTTTGAGGACTGTTATTTGGTCATCATACTTATATGATAAGCACTTTAACAATTAAGCCTTCCTCCCAGTTCTAAACTCTAGTTTAGTGAAACTCTTGATATTGTCACATTGACTTGCATACCCATCAGATTATGACTTTGTTCTGATCAGGGCAGTACGAGATGCTCACCGTTTCCAATCTCTCACCATTTTATTTGTACCTTACTCTAGGTAAAAATGAGATACCTACTGGTTACAGTTTACAAGCTTTGAAAACTAAAAAATTAGTGAAGACATTTTTATCTCAGTTTGAGTAGAGCCACTCTTACATATTAGTTAAAAGCCTATTTCAGTTATTTACTGTCTGTTACCTATATAGTCAGTTTGTGGGGTAGTGTGAGTTTGTATAGATGTGTTACTTGCCAGCAAGACAATGCCTTTGTTCTCAGGATGTTTAAATTTCAGCAACACTGTGGGGAATTTCTGTTTAAACATCTTAAGCATTATAATCCCCTGGACCATGGTGGGGCCCACTGCTTCAATTGTTTGTTTTCTTTCTTATGTCTACCTCATTCGTGCTCAGCAGACAGTAGTCCATGTCATTGTTCTTTTCTCCCTCAAATTGAAAGAGAGCAGACTCTGAGGAAACAGGGGAACACTGCCCAGAAGGAGAGACCAGACCTTACTGGGAAACTGGAAATCCTCACCACTCTGCTGTTTAGTTATGCTGCTATAAGCAGTTAGTGTGCTGGTCTCCAAGATTTGAAAGATGTTGTTCAGTTGATTTTAATCAAGCTGTGGTGTCAGGGAGGAGCATTATATCCACAGCCATTCATTTGCTAAAGGATTGCAGTTTCTGCCAACTCCTTTTCTGAAATGAATCTACAATGCTGATAAAATCCAGACTTTCAATCATCCAAACACTTTCTTCCATGCTTTCAGTGTATTTTTGTTCATTAACAAACTACTAACCCCCCATTTTTGCCAAAATAGAGGACTTATTCCATTTTTTGAGACTGAACCCACTATATCAAGTTATGTAAGTTTAATATTGGTTTCCTATTCAGAAAACGACCAGTAGAGTTAGCAGGAGAAGTGGAAGCTGATAAAGTCTTTAACTTATGCAAAAGATCACCATTTTTAATATATATTTATTTTATGTAGTATATAATGGGAAGAAACATATTGGGGGAGTAAAGGGGCAATTTTCTTGAAGTGTCATGACTTCATTTTTAACATTTTCTCTCATTTATTGATTTTCTACATTTTATTTGGCAATTTAGCTGATTCCATAAGCTATGTCAGTATTACATTTTGAACACAATGTGAAAACTTGTTCTGACAAGTTCAGATTTTCATATTTGATTTTGCTTCAATTTTGACATATGCAAAAGTGCATATAGAGAACATGCTGCTGTTTCTTTGACAATGCTGTCATATAAGTAACCTCACTGACCCATCCTGTAGAAGCCAGGTGGGTGTCATACCCCTGCTATGCTAGCATGTGGAGCATAGATGTGGGAGGTTCAAGGTGACCCAAAGTCATCTTCAAAAATGAAGTGAGTAAGAGCCACCCACCCAACTAAACAAAAAACATCCTAAAGAATGAATTTAAGTTTCAATCTTAAAATAAGCCATTGAATACAGTGTGTGTGTGTGTGTGTGTGTGTGTGTGTGTGTGTGTGTGTAAATACAAGGAGAACAACTTTAACCCTGAAATGTGTGATGGAGTTTCCTAAACAACCTGGGTGTCATCCATATGTGTTCATGTATGTATATATGTCTGTGTGTATGTTTGTGTATATTCATATGTTTATCACATGTGTATGTGTCTGTGTGTAGGCAGTGAGAATAGTGTCAACACTGAACTATGTGACATAGTGTTCTTAGCAACCTGCATGAATTTAGAGATGCCTAGGACATTAGTCTAGCACAGATCCTGAACATTTCTGTCTTGGCTTTTCTAGAGAAAATTAGATCTTGAGGACTCTTACACAATGAACTGGTTGCCTGGAGATCAGAGGGTGGAGCTAGCCCACTAGTTAACCACAAGGGCCATGCTAAGGTGGCTCATGCCTTTAATCCCAGCATTTGGGAGGCTCACAAGTTTAATCCAGCATTTGGGAGGATCAGACTTTAACCCCAGTACTTGGGAGGCTCAGACCTTTAACCCCAGCAGGAAGGAAGCAGAGAGAGGAAGTGATAAGACAGGGCAGAGACTGGATCTCAGTCCTGTCAGAGGGAAGAATGAGATAGGTAGGAAGCAACTGGAGGCTTCTCCCTGTTCTCTGATCTTCCAGATTTTTACTCGGTTTCTTATTAAGATTAATTAGAGTAATACTCCACTGAACAGATTAATTCACTGAGAGAATCACAATCTGAATAGATTAGCAAGAGATAGTGGACTATCCACCTAGCCTAGTTCAAGCAGGCTGGTCACTGGCACTGGTCCTCAGCAGCTGTGCATTATCCAGCTGCTGTACCTTTGCTGCTCCTCTGTGACATGAAGTGATCAACCCTAGCATAATTCTAGAACCTATGTAGTTAGCTCCCGTAAAGTGAACCACTGAAGACAAAATAAAACCTGTTCGCTTAAGTTGTTTATATTAGTCATTCTGTCACAAGAACATCAAACTTGACTAATAGCACATATAAACATTACAGGAAATTCCCATATGCCAGGAAATTTTTTTAAAAAGTGACTTTTCAGAAGGAGATTCTTTACTTAGAAGTACAAATATTTTACCTGAAGAAAATCTATTTTTGAAAATCGCAAGTTCAAGAAATAATTGAGTTTAAAAAACCTGCCAAAGAAAGCAAGACAGAGAACAGAAACTATATCAGAAGGAAGCCACCGAACACAGATGGGTAATATTGCACTAGCAGCTGGCAAAGTTTGTTGGGGGCACAAAGGTCTTTGCACCCACAGATCCCTAGGGAAACCATGAATGCTAAGCACACAGGGGCCTCTTCTAAATGCAGGAAATAAAATACCTGTGTTGCTGCCAAGAAGGTTTGGAGGAGATTTTGCTATGTTTCTGGTGACCTCTGTGCTATGTATGGAGGCTGATCTCACACAGCTTTTGTTATAAAGGCAGATCTCGCCCAAATTTCCCAGCATGATTATTCCAGGATATTCCTTCCCTAGACCTTTATTCATCTTTAGGGGAGATGTCACATGTACTTTATGGCCTGCTGAACTCTATGCTATCTATCAGAGACCAGATTAGATTCTAGGTCTTTTAGCTATAGGACCCACTGTCATGGTCACAAATACTTTGTGAAGGGTTTTCTATGTAGTCACACCAAAGCTTTATTGTACACCTTGAATTGGACTGATTCTTGCCTGGAAAGCTTTTCCAGGCAAGTTGTACAGTGCTTTAAATATGCTGACAATGAACTACCTGACAAAGACTCACCGAAGTCTGATCCATGTTGATGAAGTCAATCTGAACCTGGTTTTCATTCTCAACTGTTTGAGGGTTCACTTCCCTGCCTGGATATTTGTAGGGTCCCCCTCAAAATTCTAGCATACAAACCTAGAGTATGCTGAGATATTGATGTAGAAATCGACACTTTAAATGGATATTTGCTTACATTTCCCATATTTTTACATGTGCATATGTATACATATGTATTATTACAGCATTCAATGGTAATAGAAAACAATCATTTTTAACTTCTTCACAAGAAAGTGAAACACTGTTCTGCCTTAAATAGTTTCTAAATTTAAGAAAGTCTCATTATAACACAACCTAGTCTCAAACTCACTAGGTAGGTAGCACAGGCTTGTCTCAAACTTACTATGTAGCCCAAGCTAGCCTGGAGGTCAGTCTTCCTCAGCCTTCTATGTGCTGGGGAAAACAATTGCTATCATAACTGTCTTTTATTCGTGCAGGTTTCATGATTAGAAATGAAGGTAATAGTGTTGGAGGGATAGCTCAGTCATTAAAGCTAAGATCACAACCAAAAGTATAAGAAATAAAGGTAATAAAGTGGTTGCCTACAAAATGAATTTTAAACTATTTCTCCATCATCCAATGGCATACTAACATTTACTCATGCACTCATAAATAGACATTACCAAAACGAAGCAAAAAACAAAACAATGACAAAATACCCTTACATTACCTTTATGAACAGATAAAAGGGCTGAAATACTATGGAAGGTAAAATTCCTATAATTTCAAGACTCTACTTGCTAATTATACAAACTTTAAGAGACAAATCCAGGTTGAATTTTTTAAATGTCATAAGGTTTTGTTATGCTCCTTGACATATCCTGATGTTTGAAACTGCAACATAATTCTTATTTTTAGTTCCTGTATTATAATAATGCAATTGATGAGCTACACAGGACATTCAGTCTTGTAGGGTGTCCACATGGACCGATCCACAAAACAAAAACAACACTTCTGTGTGGGGACCGCTCTTCTAGCTTACATGAAGCTCTCTTTAAGAGGAAAAGTTAGATTTCAAAACACAGTTCATAACAGCAGTGCAGCAGAGTTGACTGCTTTATAAGAAACATATATTCTGTCAGTTTTCTAAGTCCTCCATAATGCTGGACAAAAGGGATGGAAATGAGACTTGGTCATTGGAATCTGCCCATAAGATGCAAGACATAGTGATGTCACAGATAACCATGACACAGTTTCCATTTTCATGCTGCAAAATCAGACAAGCTAGAAACACTTGCACTGGCAAACATGCAAGGCTTTGCTAGGCTTTTAATAGGTCTTAATTAATCAACTCTTAATCAATACGATTCCGCCTCACCACAGAATCGCCGCACTTACCCATGATGGTTAAGGCTGTAGCTTTTTTTAATTCTTCTTTCATTGACTCTATTACTTCTAAATTACCACCATCCAGGTTGCATCGGTTTATGGTTCTATTTCCAGAACTGATCCAATAAAGCTTATTCTCCACATAGTCTATCGAGAGACCTGTAATTAAGTTAAACTAGTTAAACATAGTAACAGTCCACTCAAATTGCAATATTCTCTTACTGCTTCCTGATTGGAGGGGGAAGTAGGTTGAAAGTTCACAGTTTGGTCTTGGAAAATAAGACTTGGCTAATAGGAAGCTAGATATATGGTGTCTTCACTAACTGAGGGCCATTAGATTTTTATAGGCAATGTTGCAGTAGCTACTGATGAAAGTAATAGTGACATTTTACAGATACGGAAACTAATACCTAGGAAGCTAAGAAATCTGTGTTCTCAGCACAGACGCCAGCAATTGCCAGCATGTCCCACACAATCACAGTTCACACTGAAACAATGTGCACCCATGCTGACCACCGAGCCAAGTGTGCACAGCTTGTGGACAGAGGCTCAGGTGTGGTGGCAAACTGGTCCTGAGATCAGCCCCGTGAATGAACAAACCACATGCAGTTCTTCCAGAGCAAACCAACAGCAAGAAAATGACCAAGATGGAAAAAAAAAGAAAACATAAGGTTGAGAGACTGACAAGAGTAGAAGTGTGGTAAATAGGTGAGATGTTACTGGGCGGTTCTGGCATCCAGGGAGTCACAGACCAGAGTGGACTAAGGGGTCAGAGCCATTCCACACCAGGAACCACCCAGCTCATCTGCATGAAATTTCACCTGTGGACTCTCTCAGTTTCTGGGAGATGCTGGAAAAGTTTACCCATAAACAACAATACAAAAAAAAATCAGGCACTGTGGAGACATAGTTTTAGACAATTTTCTTTCTGAAGACCACAATCAGGAAGTTAATTTTGACTACTATGAAAATTAGTTGGAAAAATAACATCAACAGATAATAATAATAATAATAATAATAATAATAATAATAATAATACATTGTGGTGATATCTTTCTTGCTCAAATAAAGCCTGTCTGGGTTCAGAGAATGGAGCTTGCCATTAGCTAACCACAGAGGTTGGAGGTTTGTACAGACAGACAGGATGTGACATATCTGGGCAGAAACTCCCACTAGCTAACCATAGAAATCTGGAGGTCTGTACAGACAGGCAGGAAGTGACATTGCTGGGCAGTAACATTATATAAGCCAGGACTAACAGAAAATCTTTTTCTTTCCTGTGGAGATGCTCAGGAGGTAAGGTGTGCTTCTCTCTGATTTCTCAAAGAGGCTTTATTTGTGTAAGAAAGATATCACCACAATACATGTCAGGTATGATATTTCAGGATGAAAGTCTTCATCATACAGTTTGTTTGAGAAAGTCTGCATGGCCTTTCTATGGTCTCTATGCCACTTGGGCACGCCATGTCTGGTCGAAATCAGATAATATGACCGTATTTTCAAAACTGACTTCTGCTATGCCATCTTTCTGATGTTTTTAAAGTAATACAAAGAATTAAATAAACTTATATGCAGTTATAGAGAATCCTTTCTAAAATGTGCAGTGTGTCTATACTGATGAACAATCTAAATTGCACATGACAATAAAGCCAAGGCCCCAAAGAGCTGCATTTTTACATGACTGTTTCTGCCCTCAAGGTCCCCAGCTGAACTGAGTGTTGGCATTATGCCCTTGGTTTGAATTTGAAAACTGTTTCGAGTACAAACAGGAAAGCCTTGTTAGACTTCCTAAGATGTAGTGTCTGAAGGCAGTACATCATATTGTGACCTCTTTATCTATGGACCCGAGGGACACATTTCTTTCAGGGCCATGTGCCAGAAAAAGCTATATATGAGAAATATAAAATTTTAACTGATCATATTTCTGTCTCAGCTTTGGCTGGGAAAAAAACCAAAGAGTCAGATTTGTGAGCCATCACCAGCAGTCGTAAAAGGATTGCATCCACACTATCAGTTTTAGTCTAGCATTGATAGACTAATCTATTATTCTCTTTCCCCTGGAATATTGAAATCAATACTCTTGTCTAGCCTTTCTTAGAGAATGTATTTGTTTAAGTTCCTTTAATCTCCTTTTTGGAGGGAAGGTGAGCTTTCATATTGAACATGTGTGACTCCAAATTAACCCACAATGACTGAACCTCTCACCCACTGCATACTCTCCAATCTCTTCAGTGTATGTTGTATAAAGTGGAATTCATCAGAAAATGAAGCGACAGTTGGGCCACTGAATTCTAGTCTCTAATATTCAGTGTCTGCTTCTGGGAAGTATGTGCACACAGGGAAGGAACTCTATCAAATCTGATTGGGTGGTATCCACAGAAGTTATCTTTAGCAGAAAATGGATATTTATTTAAATGTATTATAAACACCTTAAGATGCTTAAAAGGAATTCTTCCTGAAGTTAAGGCAAACTCACAAATGAATAAAAGTGAATCATGAATTTGCACTTGTTGGACAAGTGGTCTACCCTGAGCTGAATGACTAGTATTGTTTTGACAGGATCTTGTTATGCATCCCAGAATGCTCTGAAACTTAAAACATCCTGCCAAATCTCTTTAAACACTGAGATTAAAAGTGGAGGCCAGGGATCTGGAGGTGTGGGAGATAGTTCAGCCAGTAAAGTGTCTGTAACACATATTTGAGGACCTTCGTGTCAGAACTCAGGTAACAATGACTATGTGTGGTGATGTGTACTTGCCACAGGCAAGTGAGAGATCCTGTGCCGATAAACATGAGGTCTACACCGGACGTGGACCTCCAGACTGAGACAAGTGCACAAAAGTGCCTGTAGACTCGAAACCGCATGCATACTCATACATAACACAATAATAAAATAGAAGCGTGGCCCAAAATGTCTAGTGCAATGGAATTTTAAACATGCATTACTTATACCCAAAACATACCACAAATAGGAGGAAAAGAAATGATTCACTATGTCTACATGTATGACTTAGGTTTTTGCACATCTCTTGGGGATTAAACAGTTCCAGAATAGTGGCTTTAAAATTCCAAAAGTTTCTCTCTTAATCTATATACGTATCAGGTAATTGCCACCGAGATGATCCCTATATCTTCCCTCTTGTTCTTTAGTTACGTATATTATTAAATTTGTGTATATTGTTGAGTGTGCTCACTTTTATGTTCTGATTTTTTTCAAGACAGTGTTTCTCTGTGTCACCTTTGATGTCCTGATAATTGTTCTGTAGATGAGGTTGGTCTTAAACTGATAGACATCCTCCTGCCTCTGCCTTCCGATTGCTAGGATCATATATGTGTGCCACCATTTTCTTGTTTAAAAAGTAGTAGTGAAAGCCTCTACAAATTCTGTTATAAATATAAGACATTGGGAAAGAGGCCAAGTGATAGCTCACCTGGTAAAGGACTCTTCTCTGGTATGTCTGGTGATCTGAGTCTGATCACTCACAAAAGGTACAAGGAGGGGTTGGCTCCATAAAATCTTCCTCTGACCTCCACTGGAACAATGGTATATACACACTTGCACCATATCATGCATGCACCAACAATAATTAATTAATTTTTAAAAATTAGTAAAGTCCATTTTACATATGCTGATGTATTTTCAGAAATACTTGTGACTTGGTGGTGTGCATGCTTGTACGTCATGATATTTTTGTTTGTCAGTATTATATGCTGAAGCTCTGGCACCATTGAAAACATAATTCACATATGTACTTACAGAAACATTTTCTGAATCAGATCATTTTTTTGCTAATACTTCAAAGGATAAATCATTAAACAGTGAAGTAACAGCCATTTATTTTTATGTTTTTAGAATTTTTTTATTTTAAAGTTTAAATTTAGATTAGTAACAAGGTTGCTTCACAAGTCAGTTCCAAATCCCTCTCCCTTTCCCTCCCCTCCTCCCGTGCCCTCCCCCACCCCACCCCCATTATCCCCTCATTTCCCCAGGGAGGGTGAGGCCCTCCATGGGGGTGTCCATAGCCTGTCATTTCATCCAGGGCAGGGCCTAGACCATCCCCCAAGAGTTCAGGGTGGGAGTGCATCTCACATTGTTGGATGGGAGTCCAAAGTCCATGTGTATACTTGGGATGAGTACTGATCTACTGCCCAAGGCTCAATAAATTACCTAGGCCTCCTCACTGACATCCACATTCAGGGGGTCTTGAACAGTCCCATACTGGATTTCCAGGCTAATGCCTGGGATTCAAAAGTTAACCTTTGTCAGCTCAGCTGTTTCTGGGGGTTAAGCCAGCCCAGTCTTAATCCCTTTGGTCATCAGTCCTCCCCCTCTGTTACTGGCTTTCTTGAGTTCAGCTCAGTGCTTAGCCATGGGAGTCTGCCTCTTCTTCCATCAGTCACTGAATGAAGTTTCTGTTTCCCAGACTCTCTGGCCATGGGATTGTAGGCTAGCACTCCCCAGATCTATGTTTAAAATCCATATATGAGAGAGTACATGCCATGTTTCTCTTTTTGTGACTGGGTTACCTCTCTCGGGATGGTTTCTTCTAGTGTCATCCATTTGCCTGCAAATCTCAGGATTCCATTGTTTTTTTCTGCTGAGTAGTACTCCATTGTGTAAATATACCACATTTTCTCTATCCACTCTTTGGTTGAGGGGCTTCTAGGTTGCTTCCAGCTTCTGGCTATTACAAATAATGCTGCTATGAACATAGTGGAACAGACATCCTTGTTGTATGAATGGGCATCTTTTGGATATATGCCTAAGAGTGGAGTTGCTGGGTCTTGTGGTAGGTTTATTCCCACTTTTCTGAATGGCTAAAATAAAAAACACCAACGACAATTTATGCTGGAGAGGATGTGGTGAAAGGGGAACACTCCTCCATTGCTGGTGGGAGTGCCAACTTGTTCAGCCACTTTGGAAATCAGTATGGAGATTCCTCAGAAAAGTGGGAAGTAACAGCCATTTAATGTGACCAAACTTAGTGATGGTAGATGTGAAATCCATTGCTGTGAGAAAATAGATCAAATGTGAGAATGTTTGCAAAACTTTCCTGGGATGGGTATAGAGAATTATAATTGTGCTACATCTTTAGAGATAAACGCAATATCCAGCTAGATTAAGGTAGCCAATCAAGCAATAGTATGGCCCATGAAGT